CAAGATGACTCCAAGGCACTTACTGAGTTTTTAGATAATCTTATGACTTATAAGAATACCTTGATTTCGATGAATTGCATGAGTGACCTCAACTCGAGTTTTATACTAGAAGTAATAGCAAGACGCCTACCTACTCGACTGCAAAGGAAGTGGGTGAAGATAAGCTCCCGTATGGAGGATGAGGGTATCGAGCCAAAGTTTGATGATATCCTGAAACTAGTAAAAGATAGTGTCAATCAATCTATGAGCAAGTTTGCCAGTATATTGAATCTCACCCCTAGAATAGAGCAGTCTGAGGGTAAAACGCAATCATTGATGACGAATAGGCCTCAGAGAGGTGGATATCGAGAAGGCTCCATGATGTCTAGTAATGCATATAGACCTAGTGAGTGTAACAGGTTTCGTAGTACATCCTCAACAGATAAGTTGCAAGCTGCAAGACAAACACGGTTGTGTTTTACACGTTTGCAAGAGGTGCATACAAAGGTGAACTGTGAACCAGTGAGCAAGTTCAGTGATAAGCTAAATGTCAACTCCAGGCCTGACTCCGAATTGTGTGACGATAACGGTGTGGTGAAGAAGTCTGTAGTTGCAACTGGTAAGTCATTGTTGGATAGAGTGTCACAGAATAGAGTTATTGCTTCAGAGTGCAGTTCTGACTCCACAATTTTACAAAGTATTACTAGTCAGAGTGAAGGTATAAAATCTTTGGGGATTTGTGAGAAGGAACCAAAATTGTCTGCTTCTGTTATTAAAGAGTTTGAAATTGATGAAGTCGACCAGATAGATGTTGATAAATTGAATATTTGTGATAATGATCATGATACCTCACATTTGTCTTTGGTTGATCATGATGAAATGAGGGGAATGCCTACTACTGCCAAGTTAAATAAAGGTTCTGTACAACTACAACGTGAAGTAGAAATAAATGCAGATGCAGTTGCAGAAGGCATGCATACTTGTCAGACCGTCAGTGTGAATGAACAGCGTGTAGCCCACCTATCATCAGATGCTAGTGCTAAACCTGAGCTGATAGTAAAAGACACCAGTGGTGGTGGTCTTGCAGGTAGACAAATTTCTGAAAGCCGAGCAACAACAGCTTCTGATCCACCGCTAACTTCATCAACTGGTATCAATCGGTCATCGTTGGTGTTGTCATCCACAATGAAACAGTCGCCCATCAACTCAAGTATCTTGTACAATGACTATGATAGTATTGGTGCATTTGAAAGGACGAAAGATATTGCTCAGTTTAGAGAGGATAAGCCAAGTGTAAACGAGAGAGTAATTGTTAAATTGACTTGCATGAATAAAGGCATTTCTAGTTTCAAGTTACTATTTGAATGCTATTATCTTTGGTGTAAATTACTCTGTGTCTACGCTTGGTTGACCAGATACGTCGTGTGTTTGTTCGTCATCTATATTCTTCGATACAATGACATGAGCGTGTTACCGTTCAGATTTGAGGATATGGCTGATAGAAGGAAGTCAGCAAATGAACTCTGCAACGATTTTCCAACCTAGAGCGTCAACCTGAGAAGGGTTGTAGGCGTACTGGTGTAAGTCCTGCGATTCTTTATAGGAATATCATCAGGATGTGATCCGCGACGCTAGGCTATTGCTGAGGATGAAATGCATACGGAGATAATTGTTAGCTGCGGTCCCACATGCCAGGGAGAAAGAGTATAAACGCCTGATGCTTGCGCACTTCACCATTTCTAGAACTGAGGCAGAATGAGTGACAAGCGATTGCAGTGGTAATTGGTAGTGAGTAGATAAGACGATGTGCGTAGAGTATCATGAGGTGGTGCTATGGTCACGTTGCATTCTGCAAGAGTCATTCTAGCAAGTGGAGATTGTTGCAATAGGATGTCTTCAACTGGAAGGTGCAGGTCGTCATTGATGTGTGAGATTGTGCTGTCGGTATGCCTGTGGTGTGTTGGCTTTTCTGTTTGTTTTCCATTTCAGCTCTGTCCGTGTGACCCGGGTTCTCGCAATGGCATCCAAGTCAACGTGTATTGGTCGTGATGGAAAAAAGGGGTTGGATCCTCTTTTTTCCGGGGAGTGTCAATGTAGTTGAAGATTGAACGATCAATTCATGGTTGTTTGGCTCAAAACCAACTTCCCCAATTTTCGCGGAGGCATCAATACGACAGTCATCGTCTCATCGGTCGCTGTTCAGAAAGAAGTCAGCAGCAAACCGTCAGAAGTAATATTGTGATTTATTATTGTAATATTTGTTCACAGACCCTAGTAAAACCAGTATATTTTTATGTTGGTATAACAATAAAGAATTCTCGAGTCAACAATAGGTGTTTTGGTTTTTTCGTCCGTTATTACTAAGCGTTTCTGAGAAACTTCAAGGAACAGCGTGAGCCCGAGCGTAGCAAGAGCTGGGCATTAAAGGTTTACGAGACGTGGCTGTCAACCCTTCTTCAGTATACATACAGTGCATTATTGTTAACCAAATGCCTAAATTTTGTTTGTTTTGTATTAATATCTTTTTATAATAGGTGTAGACAGGTTACTTTGCAATGTTGAGTGTTTACTATATATAAGACTGTCATGATATTTCAGTACACTAAGTCCTGGCAACCGACCTTACCTTCAGTTCATACAACCTACATTGAATCCTAACTGTAGTGTTCTCCTGGATCGTGCTCCACTCTTCACAAAACCTATTCGTTTTACTCTTTAGGGTTTTAACTTCTCATGAAGTAATCTGTTCATTAGGACACACGCACACATATGTAATATGTTCATAAAGATGTACGTGGAGACTTATTGGAGGCACTCATTAAGAAGGCTAGGGAGGTGGTATATGAGGAACGAACATGTCTGGTACAAAGCAATATGTTTGCGGTAGCCATAATAATCATAGTCCCAGAGCCTAACATCATACGTAATTTATATGTTGGTGTAACAATAAAGAATTCTCGAGTCAACAATAGGTGTTTTGGTTTTTTCGTCCGTTATTACTAAGCGTTTCTGAGAAACTTCAAGGAACAGCGTGAGCCCGAGCGTAGCAAGAGCTGGGCATTAACGGTTTACGAGACGTGGCTGAAAACTTCTGTTCGCCATATATCTAGTGTTATATGTTTTATTTGTGACACTGAAACTCTCTTTGCGGTATCTCCTGTTGCTTTTAGGATTGTTACTTTTGTGTTTGAAGTTGTACGTGCCGTGTTAGATTCATTCAATTGAGACATACTAGGGCGCATTGCAAAAATATTAAATCCGGTAATAACAATATGGATACAAACCCATCATATTTAAAGAAAATGTTCGAACGGTAACTTGTAGTATGAGGACTGTTTGCTGGTTCACATACTTCATATGCAACTGGGTTTAGTCAGTCGTACGTGTGAACGCCTCAGTTTGAAGTCGCTGACGAAATATCAGTATGAAGCAGTCTCCAGTCCTTGAAGTTTGCTGAAAGCCAGACATGCTTGCTTAATAGTCCAGAACAAGATCCACAAATGACGTTTTAAGTGACTGTAGAAAGATACGAATTACTCACCACACTTCCCAAATATATCATCCTGTTTCATTTTGACAATTACGAAGAGAGGGAGTACAAGTGCTGTATCCGGTACCATCGACACTGAATTCACCACGTCGTTCTCAGCGGAAATCGTCGGCAGTATGCTGACACTGTGACACTTGGTACCACACAAAATTGTGCATATTAAATCAATACAAACTTAATAATTTTAAACCGTCAGTCATAAAGCTAACAAAGATCTTCTCTGGGACAATACAAAATCATAGTGGTTGAACTTTAAAGACCCCCTTGGCCCACCTATCAATGAGTTATCATTCCCATGTGGATATTTCTGAGTCAGCTAGTGAGTTTGGCATGTGCCAGCCGAACAACACGTGTGATTATGTGTCAAACCACAGAAGTCATGAAGAATTCGATAACAATCAACTGAATACACGGAACTATTTCTCAGAATTAAGAAACAAAAGTCAAGAAATCAAGGGATTATCTCCGGTCTGTCACCAGTACCATAGAATTTCGAATGCGAATCAGACTTATGAACGAAATTTAAAATATTTGTCTTCATAAAGTCCATTTCGAAACAACAGGATGACTTCATTAATACTAAATTGACCGTTCAGTTTTAGTAAAGTTACAGTCAACGAAGGAATGGGTATGTTAACGCTAAACAGTGGGCAGTTAATGAAAATAACCAAACCTTATCAGTTCATCAAACGGTCCCCTGTAAATCAGGATACAATCTGCAGTGGAAATTATTGCTAACAGGGAGGGCTTGCGTAATGCTTTACTATGATGGCATCAGTCCTTTTCTCAAGTCGTTGCTTGACTTTTTTTGATTACAGCTTGATTCCATACCGTATTTTTGGTACAAGTATGGAATTTTCAGCGTGGATATCGGTAGCCCAAATTTCGCAGGCCGACCATAGATATCAGGTGTGCGTCAGCGTGGGCTCGAACCCCGGACCATGTGCATGGTCGGCGAGAGTCCTAACCACTGTGCCACCGACGCACACGTATGGCAAAATAAAAAGGTTTCTGAAGTGAGCAAAAGACTACAGAATATTACGTGCTATGAAACCGGTTTTCGAAATCTCGATGGAGATGTAATATCATGTATAAGTGATCCTGAAACCGAAAGCCATTAGGGTTTTATTTGTTTTTAGGATTACAACAATCGATATTATATTCCGGTTTGTGATTAATACTTAACAATTTAATATTGAGACATCTATGCCTTCAATGGGACGTTCGTGGTCTTTAGTACTTAAATAGAGCTAGTTGAAGATTTTCGGTGGCAGGGAAACAACACATTTTTCAATGTATCTCATGTGAGTCAGTCAGTTAGCTGTGCCGCCATTAATTTAGAAACGGAAGTTTCGAAAGCTACCAGAATATTTCTTTTAGCAAATATGTTCTGGATTCTACGTATACAACACTCAAAAAGATTCACATTTATAACTGATATAGGTGCCTTGAATGTTGATCACGTGACCTTGAAGTCTTTGTTTAAACCTATCAGCAGCTAGTTAAGATTATCAAAGGATTTTCTGTAACAAGGAGTCTTAACGCTGGGATGGTATAATTAGCCTTGCTTTTATTTAATTTTGTCAACCTTATAAACTTCAAAACCTAATTAGGTGAGTAATGCTTTAAAATTTATGTTAATTGATGCACATTACCATGTTATTTCTTGAAAACGACCGTAATGTATATTTCTGTAAATGTCTGGTTACTTTTCGCCGTTTTTTAATTTTCTTAGTGATAATGGGGCATTCATATGATTTTTATTTGAAGGCGTACCTTTGAGTTAATTATTACACTTAGATTTGAGCACCTGGTTTGACCTTGGTTACTCTTGAGAAATTATCGGCCTATGTTTATAGACAGAGATTCTGGGTTCGTCCAGAAAGACCTTGCTTATTCTTTTGTAATTATGAGGATTCTGGCGATCATTCTTTCGTGACATTCTTAAGCTTCGGCGACTTATACTCATTTCACAAACTTTTGTACGCCTAGTATGGATTCAACCGTGCGTCGGTGGCACAGTGGTTAGGACTCTTGCCGACCATGCACATGGTCCAGGGTTCGATCCCCTGCGGACACACACCTGATATCTATGGTCGGTCTGCGACATTTGGGCCACCGATATCACATGCGGGAAATTCCATACCTGTACCAGAAAAATACGGTATGGAATCAAGCTGAAATCAAAATCAAGGTATAGGGATTTTGTCAGATTTACACTTTTATTGCTGATGTTCATCATACTTCACAGTCGTATGCACTGTGGGTGATCTATGCTCGGGAACCAGAAATCTGTGACAGTCCATGTTCGATTAACTTTTAACGTAGTCCATGTAGACCTGAACGATTTATCAGCAATAATCTGCTTATCCATTTGTCGTTCCCAGTCTTTACTGTGGAGAGTCTTTATAAGGGGACCACAGTGTAATGACTACACACAACTGTTATCCAACCTCGTTGATATAGGCAGTCACTGGGCATAAATTGTATATGTCCTGATAGTCATTGTTGATTGAGAATCACAACTGCCCTCCCTGCCTAACTGACTGCAGGCATAGCTTCATATCACCAAACCTTGTTTCAGCAAGCACCTAGTGAGTAAACACGTGGATGGATCCACGAACCTTTAATATTTTCTGTTAAGTAGGACAGAACCAACTACTGCACAGTGCACGTCTTTTTATGTATGCAAGGTATCACACATATACCTAAACTCGCCCTTTAATTTGCATACTACGATTTGTCAACAATTAGTCTACTATGACTAATTCATTTCCCTAAATAAATGAGTTGGTAGACAAACTGATCAATTCATTTTCTGTCCTCAAACCAGTCGGTACAAACCAGTGTTACAGCACCATCCTACATTGAAAATGGAGTCATATTCTTAGCATACTTGTATATTTTTGCGTAACACTCAGGGAGTCTCATTGTCAACATTCAGGAACAAGTTATTCCGTAAGATGTAGAAGTTGATTAGGATCTCATTCATCAGTACATCTATAATGAAATCAATTAAGAATAGTAGAAACTGGAATCTCTAATGGGTGCCGTAGACGACTTGTCAATCCACCAAAAGTACAAATGCTTCTGCGATTAGCTACGGAAATCCCTGTTGACAGTTTGGGGTTGACCCGTCTCAGCGTATGTAGTTCAAAACACACGGCATAGCCTCATTATCCTTTGTTGAATTTAATTATCAAGCCAACATGTCTTGGATTTCGTTGAGATGTACTGGCTCTACGTGTTTACGGAACACTGAGTTTTAACTGGGAACTATATTTTCAAACATCTGTGATAAGTTAGCGACTACTGATTGTCTTCTTAAATGACTCGTGAATATAGTGAATAAGTGAGACATATGTAAGAGTTAGCGCATTTGGTTTTGTCCAGTAGTACTCCACTGTTGAAGCGCAGTGTTCGACAAACTAGAAATGGAATGTCACAATGACTGTGGTTTGCTTGACTATTCTCTTCTCAGAATTTAGTAGTCTCCAGTGGTAAGATATTAATGATTAGACGTATAAAGTTTTGAAAATGTATTTGCCAATTAACTTGTAGTCTGAAGGCTTTTATACCGGTTTTAACTGAAAAAGGTTCTTTTTTCCTTCACGTTTCCTAGTGGAACATAGGGCCTCAAGCCACTGGCTTGAAGTTTCTGTAGCAGTGTTTATTTTACAGGATGGGGTTGCTAGCCTCATTCCCAACCTTTCCTCTTTACCAGGATTATTTCTGTTTTAGCGAGGTAAAGGAGTGCGTCGGTGGCCGGGGATCGAACCGCGGACCGTGTGCATAGTCGGCGAGCGTCCTAACCGCTATACCACCGACGCCACCGGTTTTAACTGAAAAAGGTTTTTTGTTCGAGGTTTATTCTTTTACTGCTCAGTTGAAATTACAGTGTTAGTAGATTCCATGCAATTTGAAGTCCATAACTCTTTAAATTGATTAAAAATTTGGTGGACACTTATGCAAACTTGGGATGACTACATCATTTAGGATGTTTACACCAAAAATTGCGTAAAATTGCTACCGAAATAACGTTAGACGCGCTTTTCTTTATAGTGGATATGTATCTCATTTCATTTTCTTATCTGCATGTTTTTTTACCATTTAAAGAATAGGGAACGCTTAGTATTCAGATACAATTTAGTTGGTTTTAAACATAATGAATCGTAAAACTAACTGGTTGTCTTGTACTTTACGTAAAGAGTGTTATAACAATTTATGTCCATCAAAGTTTTTATAAGACGGTTTCTTTGTGTGTGTGTGTGGACTTATTTACTTTATGAAAATGGTACTTTCATTATCTAAATTGATCATGTCCATTATGGGATCAATCTCAAGAACCAGTTTACGACTATTTCTACCATCTACTATCTGCTGTTAGGAGCTAAGTTGCCTCTTAAACCATTCAAAATTTTAAGGTCGAGATGGGATAGTGACTCAGCATTCATCAGATATATTTTTCCTTGTTTGGATCCATTAAGCAAGGAGTTTCTGTATAACGGTGTAATGCATACAGAATATTTTTACCCTGCGGTTTGTACTGTACCAAAATAAGCGTGACGGCTGTTTGTCAGGTATTGGTTTGTAGGGATTTTGTTTGATTGACTGAAGGATTTCATCATCAGCTGACATAGGTTAGAGAACCATTGGTAAACCTGTAGAGAGTACTGTATAGCTGTTTCGTCAGTATAGTTTGGATCTCTTCATCAGCACGCACCCAAACTAAGACGAAACAGCTGTCCAGTACTCCCCACAGATTTTCCAATGGTTGTCGAACCGATGTCAGCTCAGGATGAAACCCTCCAACCAAACAGCTGCTTGTATTGAGTTATATATTTTATACTGTGTACTGCTGATAAATCTGGTTCTAGTGTCTTCTGGTCTTATTTTCACCACGTGAATTAATTATGTTTGAAAGTTTAGTTTCACTTGACTGCACAAGTATGCTTACAGGTTGTCACTGTAAATGCTGCACATACTTTAATCGACTGAATTCATTCAACAAAAAGCAATCACTTGTGTTTTTATTGATTTATCAGTTCCCTGAAATGATGTACTATCCAGTGAGTTTGTTAGAACATTGAATTTTTAGCTAAAGGTAAACTGATTAATTCCAGGGAGATAGGTAGCATAAAAAAATAACTAACAATCAAAATGGGTTGGGGCAGCTACAGTTTTAAAAGGCAGTATAAGTAGGCGAAGGGAGGGAGAGCTTGACCACTGTGTCTTTTTCTATCGAATCTACACCAAACATGTGCAATAAGAATGACGCACGCATACATATCGATACCGGTGATATGGTAAATATTCATACCAATAAAATAATGGAATTACATAAAGTTTGGAAGTTATATGAGTGCGCACCTTGATATGATTATATGCAATAAACTGTGCTCAAAACACAATCAGTGAATAATGCATTATCGTTGTGTGCTCTTACCAAATTAATTTTTTTTTCTATACTGGGATTCTACTCTACTACGGTGCACAAGTTCTATTCATATGTCAAGGTACCATCCAAGCTTGCATATCAGCAGTATTTGTTGTAGTTTACCGTATATGGGTTATTCATACGATCCTAAGTGTATTCACACATGATACCAGACTGTGGTTTAATGATTCAGCAATTCACCTAGATCTTCACGATATCTGTTATGGAAGAGCGCACAATGAATTTGACCATCGACTTGAATTGTCCTCACCTACCAACCATCGCCTAACGCTCAGTTTACTCCACACCTACACATCTATTTAAATGACTTACACTTGTCGCTGATCCTTGCTCGTTATGTAACTGTTTTCGACATAGAACTTTCCACCGATGTGCGGCAGTTCAAGTGGCCACACTCCATGTAGCACACAAAGCAAGAGAAGAAAGAACAAATGCATAATAGAGCCAGTAAACAGAGGTGTAAGACAAAGGAATAGTAATAACGCAGAACGATGTAGTTTCATTGGAAATCGTAAGTCACAAGAAGTGGATGCATCTGCACCAGCCACTGAGAACGATTTTGAGCCATGTCACCAATTGTTTCCAACCATTGGTTTTTACCGTCCCGAGGACCCCAATCAGTCAGAAAGTCTACACCTTCCTATGTGACCTGCTTAAACTAACTTTTGTGAATTGCATTGACTGGTGCCATGTTTTTGTTTGACCTCCACTGGCTTTTTTCCAACCTGACCCTATATCAGCTGACATTCCCCGTCGAGGTAGGCGATGACTAGGCATACGTAACACATGTCCTAACCATCTGAGTCGATGCAATTTCACAGCCTCGTCGATTGATTTCCCCTCCCACCTACCTAGCACTCGACCGAAGCCGAACCTCAATATTGCTCACCTTATTTATACCACTTCACATGGGAGATAGAACGCAGGCACCTATGATCAAAGGCAAGTAGCAAGGCTTTTCATGTCTTCCACTTTCAATGGCCATGTCTCACAGACAGCCATAAAGGAGGACGGAGCGGACTGCTAAGGAGTACACACGCCCTTTTTAGTCGATAGCCGAATATCACGTCTACGCCAGAGATGGGGTAAGCGGACATATGCGAAACTAGCCCTCTGTATCCGTGCTGAGATTTCGTCGGTTAGTTTGTTTTCTACGTGACCAATCTTTCGGGAACTTCAGTTAGTCAGTCATAGAGCTTTTACTAGCTCTGATATTGTGCATATCCGGTTATCTTGTATATGATTTTCTCTTTGATTGATTTTACTTCATGAAGTAACTTTTTTATTTTTATTATACACCTGTTTTTAATTTTATCTTTTTTTGAAGACAATGTCTGGGCTAAAATTAGAAGATCCAACGGTGGATGTCGCTGACATTGAAAAGTATCGTATGGCTTTTTTGATGCAATTTTTTGTACAACACAAACGTAGATTCCGGTTTCCACGCTTACGGTTACAGGTAAGCTTAAACAGTAGCTATAACTACACAATAGTTTTATTTCTTTCTTGAATATGGTATATATATATATATCTATCTTCAAGTTCATACTGTTTCCATCTTGGCTTTGATCTTATTTATGTGAGTCACAATAACATCTCTGAGTTTGGATCCTTGGCTCATTGGTGTCTAGACTGTCGACTTTCAAACAAAAGTAGATCACGCTTTTGAAACCTGCTCCACCTATGGACCAAGGTTTGAGCAGGCAGGCAGTAAGTATCTCACTAGCAGCTCTTAAATACAATAGGTGTAGCATCGGTGGCACAACGGTAGAACGCTAGCTGACCGACCACGCATGTAGTCCGGGGTTCGTCCCCGGCCACCGACCCACTCCTGTACCTCGCCAGGTCAGTAATAAGACAGATAAAGAGGGAAGGTTGGGCATGAGGCTAGCAAACTCATCCTGTAAAAATCAACACCACTGTTACCGAAACTTCAAACCTCCAGCTTGAAGACGCCCTATGTTCCACTGGGGATGTAAAGGAATTTTAAAAAATGGCTCTGTCGAATAATACTACATGCAGTCGTAAAAGGATATTGATTAAAATTTCGTTTTTGAGTTGTAATAGCATGGGATTCGTTATAGAGAGAAATCTACATTTTGTGGAATTCCACTGTTAAACTGTAGTAACTATGATAATTCTGAATAATAATATAAAATGCCTTCCAGACATACATTTTTATGGAATATGATCGACTAAATTGTAAATATTCAAATATTGGTTTCTGTAAGGATTTTTTTGATCGGTTGGAGGATTTCATCATGAGCTGATGGAGTCCCAATGGCGTAATGGTCTACGAGCTCGCCTGGGTTCGAGCCCTGGCGGTGGGTGCGTCCTGACGATGAAGAGTCCCGAACTAGGACGAAACAGCTGGCTATCCAGTACTCCCTACAGGTCTTCCATTGGTTCTCTAACTGTTATCAGCTCACGATGAATTGTAAATGGTTTAAGTGTTTGAACACTACTCATGTATGTATGTATGTATTTCACAGGTATGAATATAAGTAAGAGGAATATATAACAAGAACAACACAAAACAACTTATTTTCGATTAACAAACAGTAGTACTATAATCAATTGTCCTGTAGAAATCAATCCGTTGTATTACTATACATGGATATATATATATATTTCTGAGAAAAGGCAGTTGTTTCCTTGGAGAGCAATGTACTAAGTGGGCATATAGCTAACTAAATATATACACAATATATATATATGTTTGAACAAAGAAAGAAGAAACATTGGCGCGCAGAATAATCTGGATCCATTTTATTTCGTTGGTTCTCATCACCAGCTGCGTACAACCTGAATTTTTTTAATAACAATAAAATGTGTGCAGTTTCAACAAACCTTTGTCCTCTTTAAAAATTTAAAACAATTAGTTCCCTTTATGAATTTAGATAAAGCAATAAGAAGACGTAATTTGTCTGAATCGTGTAATGCCGTATTTGCGCAACACATTTCGAACAATCTGATCCATCACACACGGACTTGTCATAGGAATATATATGAAATTAATAAAGAGGTAAGAGGTGAGAAAAATAGACTTAGGTCTCACCTCTTACCTCTTTATTAATTTCATATATATTCCTATGACAAGTCCGTGTGTGATGGATCAGATTGTTCGAAATGTGTTGCGCAAATACAGCATTACACGATTCAGACAAATTACGTCTTCTTATTGCTTTATCTAAACCTTTGTCCGTTAGCAAGCATATTATCAGAGCGTCATAGTAAAATAAGGCGTTGCAATTTACAGGGTGTCTAAAGTGTTACGACATATATATATATATATATATATATATATATATCTTGTGAGAGAGAAGTTTCTTGAAAAAAATTAATTAACAGTTGTGTTGTTGGGGTGATAACAAAAGACAAATAGTAATAGTTACGTAATTAGATAAGAGAAGATCAAAATTTTATTATTTCAGTGCACATGAGGTCAGATGAGAAGTTGATGATGTAATACAGTGAGCAGAACTCAGAACATTAAGAAAAATTATCTCTTAAGAGAGTCAAGCTAAAAATAAAAGAGAGGGTGGAGTGAAAAGATAAATTAACAAAATTAGAAAAGAAAAGGTGTTCAGCAAAGAGTTACTCTTTTCGGCGATATCATTTTCAAGCCGTACAAATCGCAAATTTATAGTAATTTCTCTTGGCAACAAAAGGAATATTTCCAAAGATGTGTTAATGCAATTGTTAGTTTTTGACAAACAAATTACGTAATTTTGGACACCAAATACGTAATTTTGTCTTACCTCTTTCTTCTTTGTTTGTCTATTTCTTAATTGCATTATTTTCTACCCCCACCCTCTATTAAATCTCTACGCTCATGACGACTGTTGCTAACTCGATTTTCGTTTATTTTTAAGTGAATTCTACTCAGCTTATTAACTTAACTCTCATTCATTTTCAAGTGAATTCTACTCAGATTATTAACTTGACTCTCATTCATTTTTTCATTGAACCCTATCAATTAGATTACGTCACCCAACCTACTTTTGTAACTTTATTTTACTTTCTAACCGATTAACGCCTTCAAAATTACGTATTTTGTTTGTCAAAAACTAACAATTGCATTAACACATCTTTGGAAAATATTCCTTTTGTTGCCAAGATAAATTACTATAAATTTGCGATTTGTACAGCTTAAGAATGATATCGCCGAAAAGAGTAACTCTTTGCTGAACACCTTTTCTTTTCTATGGCTGAATGGGAATTTTCAAGCTGCAAAATTAGAAAACAAAGAGTTACTAAGAAGTGAGTCACCAGGGTAATTGAAGTCCAACAACGGATTCATTTTGGACACATCAGTCAGGCTTCAATCTTTTTTTTATTGCTATAGTTTCAGCAAACCTGGGAAGACTTGCGATACGTTGTCTATTAATTATTTTGAATGATTCCAGCACATCTACTCGGTGCTGTCCTGTGTCAAATCAGGTGTTTGGCGATTGAAGAGCTTAAACAATTCGGATCCAGATTATTCTACGCCAATGTTTCTTCTTTCTTTGTTCAAATTTATAAAATAGAATCATTCTATGACACATATATGTGTGTGTCGATGATAAAATCCTTGCCAACTACGCATGTGCTACGAGGTTTGATCCGTAGCAGACGTGCACTTCTAAATCTGGCTTTGCCAGTATTAAAAACTTGGTAAAGAGAGTCTATGTCAATCTCACCCTGTAAAAAAAGACACCATAGTTACATAAATCTCAAAGTTCATGTGTGAAGCCTCTTATGTTCCATGTGGAACTCAAAGAAAAAATTATGTATTGATTGATTCTATCCAGACTTCTGTAGTAGGCTTTCTAAAAAATGTTGCTTATTTGACTTACTGTCCATCGATTCCGGGAAATAAATTCACAGGCCACCAGGTGATGAATAGGTGGAGAGTCGGTCTGCATATTTTATAACTTGCTATGAAGCTAGACGTGCGTCGGTGGCACAGCGGTAGAATGCTTGCCAACCACGCCCCGCATGTGGTTGTGGGGGTTTCGATTCTCGCCCGCCGACGCACTCCTTTACTTCACTAATCCGGTAGTGAGACCGGTAAAAAGGGAAGGTTGGGCATGCATATGAGACTAGCAACTCCGTTTCGTAAAAATAAATCCCACTGCTACTGAAATTTCAAAGCTCTACCTTGAATCCGCCCTATGCTCCACTAGGAACGTAAAGGAATAAAGAAATGAAGCTAGAAAAGTTAATATAATTAGCGCATATCATTTCTGTCTGTAGGGGATAGGCAAATATTATTATCATTAATATTCCCTTGTGTTCTGAGTGGTTCACAGGGCTTCAAAAACAGATCTCCACTTCCTCCCCACACAATCTCTCCTCCTCTATGTCACCATTGCACACCCAACAACACGTGGCTCTCCCCATTCGGGCTATACTCCATAGGTCAAGCACGTGTGTGTTTCCGCTCTATCTCTATACTTTTTCTACATCCATCAAGTTTCATCGATCACGTCTGTAAAGGCTGTAACTCTGTAAGAATATTACTTCGTTCTATCAGTGCAGCTGATCAGCCTTCAGAAAACTGTTATCTTGTTGAAGAAAAACAAAACAACTGAAATCTATCTGCGTCGGTGGTTCACTGAACTACCACACACATGTGGACTACTAGATTCGATTCCCAGTCAATTCAATTTTTAAACCTGGCCTAGTTTTACTCTCTGGTGCTGGTGGTAAGCCTTAAAAAAGGTGAAAAAATTGAAACTTCAACGCTTTATAATTCGCCCACATTCGGAACCATTCGGAACGCCCTCTAGTCAAAGGAATTTTGAAAAATAAATTCATCATAAAAAACGGTTTGATTTTGTTTGTTTGATTGGCTGAAGGATTTCATCTCATGAGCACTGACATCAGTTTGAGAACCATTGGGAAACCTGTAGGGAGTACTGGACAGGTGCTTCGCCCTAGTTTGGGACTCTTCATCAGTACTCTTATACTGCCAGGGTTCGAACCTAGGGCTTTCTGCTTTACAAATCGAGTCACTGGCACCCAACCGATTCAAATGCCCAGTCGATGAATTCTAACTTCTGCCAATTCATGACATAGCACGACCACTTCTCAATATCGTCTTCGATGAGCTACTGCCTCACACCTTCAACCTGTCCAGTACTCCCTGTGACTGGTTTTTTCCCAATGGTAGTTCTCTAACTGATGTCAGCGCTCATCGGATGAAATCCTTCAATCAATCAAAGGAACAAAATCCCTACAAAAAAATCAATATTTGAAAATTACATAATTTATGAATATTCTCTAGGAAATACAAACACACTGTTGATGATACACACATGAATATAATTAAAAGAATGGTGTGTGTGTGTGTGTATGTAAACATGTATATAGTTGAAATATTTTGTTTACTTAAAAATAAAATTGTTATTGATTGTTTATGTTCAGAGGGGGAGAGAGAGAGAAAGCGCGCAAAAAATGTGATGAAATACA